CCTGTCTTAATCCAGTCCTAATCCTGCCCTTGGAGCGTCCTAATCCTGCCCTAATCCCGCCCTAATCCCGCCCTAATCCTGCCCTAATCCCGCCCTAATCCTGCCCTGAGAGCGTCCCAATCCCATCCTAATCCTGCTCTTGGAGTGTCCTAATCCCGTCTTAATTCTGCCCTAATCCCACCCTGAGAGCTTCCTAATCCCATTTTAATCCTGCCCTAATCCCACCCTAATCCCGCCCTGAGAGCGTCCTAATCTCGCCCTAATCCTGCCTTAATCGCGCCCTTGGAGCGTCCTAATCCAGTCTTAATCCTGCCCTAATCCTGCCCTAATCCCGCCCTTGGAGCGTCCTAATCCCATCTTAATCCTGCCTTAATCTTGCCCTAATCCTGCCCCAATCCCGCCCTGAGAGCGTCCTAATTCTGTCTTAATCCTGTCCTAATCCCGTCCTTAATCCTGTCGTAATCCCACCCTAATCCCGCCCTGAGAGCGTCGTAATCCTGTCTTAATCCTGCCCTAATCCCACCCTGAGAGCGTCCTAATCCCGCACTAATCCTGCCCTAATCCTGCCCTTGGAGTGTCCTAATCTTGTCTTAATCGTGCCCTAATCCCGCTCTAATCCCACCCTTGGAGCGTTCTAATCCTGTTTTAATCCTTCCCTTATCCCACCCTTGGAGCGTCCTAATCCCATCTTAATCCTGCCCTAATCCCGCCCTTGGAGCGTCCTAATCCCATCTTAATCCTGTCTTAATCCTGCCCTAATCCCGCCCTTGGAGCGTCCTAATCCCATCTTAATCCTGCCCTAATCCTGCCCTAATCCTGCCCCAATCCCGCCCTGAGAGCGTCCTAATCCCATTTTAATCCTGACCCAATCCCGCCCTTGGAGCGTCCTAATTCTGTCTTAATCCTGTCCTAATCCCGTCCTTAATCCTGTCGTAATCCCACCCTAATCCCGCCCTGAGAGCGTCGTAATCCTGCCCTAATCCTGCCCTAATCCCGCCCTGAGAGCGTCCTAATCCCGCCCTAATCCTGCCCTAATCCTGCCCTTGGAGCATCCTAATCTTGTCTTAATCGTGCCCTAATCCCGCTCTAATCCCACCCTTGGAGCGTCCTAATCCTGTTTTAATCCTTCCCTTATCCCAACCTTGGAGCGTCCTAATCCCATTTTAATCCTGCCCTAATCCCGTCCTTGGAGCGTCCTAATCCTGTCTTAATCCTGCCCTAATCCCGCCCTTGGAGCGTCCTAATCCCATCTTAATCCTGCCCTAATCTCACCCAAATCCCACCCTTGGAGCGTCCTAATCTTGTCTTAATTCTGCCCTAATCCTGCCCTTGGAGCGTCCTAATCCTGTTTTAAAATGCCCTAATCCAGTCCTAATCCCGCCCTTGGAGCGTCCTAATCCTGTCTTAATCTTGCCCGAATCCCTTCCTTGGAGCGTCCTAATCCCGTCCTAATCCCTCCCTGAGAGCGTCCTAATCCTGTCTTAATCCTGCCCTAATCCCGCCCTAATCGTGTCCTAATGACTCTTTGATGCTGCCCTAATCCAGTCCTAATCCCGCCCTTGGTGCGTCCTAATCCTGTTTTAATTCTGCCCTATTCCTGCCCTAATCTTGCCCTTGGAGCGTCCTAATCCCGCCCTAATCCTGTCTTAATCCTGCCCTAATCCTGCCCTAATCCTGCTCATGGAGCATCCTAATCTTGTCTTAATTCTGCCGTAATCCAGTCTCAATCCCGCCCTTGGAGCGTCCTAATCCTGTCTTAATCCCGCCCTAATCCCACCCTAATCGTGCCCTAATGACACTTTGATGCTGCCCTAATCCCGTCCTAATCTCGCCCTTGGTGCGTCCTAATCCCGTTTTAATCCTGCCCTAATCCCACCCTAATCCCGCCCTTGGAGCGTCCTAATCCCGCCTTAATCCTGCCCTAATCCCACCCTAATCCCGCCCTTGGAGCGTCCTAATTCTGTCTTAATCCTGCCCCAATCCCGTCCTTAATCCTGTCTTAATCCTGCCCTAATCCTGCCCTAATCCCACCCTTGGAGCGTCCTAATCCCATCTTAATCCTGCCCTAATCCCGTCCTTGGAGCGTCCTAATCCTGCCCTAATCCTGCCCTAATCCTGCCCTAATCCTGCCCTAATCCCGCCCTTGGAGCGTTCTAATCCCATCTTAATCCTGCCCTAATCTCACCCAAATTCCACCCTTGGAGCGTCCTAATCCTGTTTTAATCCAGTCCTAATCCTGCCCTTGGAGCGTCCTAATCCTGTCTTAATCTTGCCCGAATCCCTTCCTTGGAGCGTCCTAATCCCGTCCTAATCCCGCCCTGAGCGCGTCCTAATCCTGTCTTAATTCTGCCCTAATCCCGCTCTAATTGTGCCCTAATGACACTTTGATGCTGCCCTAATCCAGTCCTAATCTCGCCCTTGGTGCGTCCTAATCCCGTTTTAATCCTGCCCTAATCCCACCCTAATCCCGCCCTGAGAGCGTCCTAATTCTGTCTTAATCCTGTCCCAATCCCGTCCTTAATCCTGTCTTAATCCCGCCCTAATCCCGCCCTGAGAGTGTCCTAATCCCATCTTA